AACAATAACAAAAATTTAAGAATGTAAGACAGATATCACTATGTGAAAATCGTATAATCACACAATATCTCTTACACGTCCAAAACTCCAAGAGTAATAAAAAAGCTACATACTAAGAAAAAATCACACATAGGAGGTCATCAATTTCCTAGTTGAATTAAATATGATTAAGGAAGACACATCTATGACACTTATCCTCGTATGCCAAAATTTCTTCTAGAGTCAAGAGACATTGATAGCTTTGTGGTGCTAGATGGGGCTCAAATTCAAATGCTAAAAGACTTATTTATAATGTGTTGACAATAATAACATGGATACTTGGCATTTCAAAAACAATAATTATATTTGATGTTAGTGGTGCTAGAGCAACAGTTTTTGTTACTTCCCTTGATAGATTCAATTAAATGAATAAGGTGAACTTACGTTTAAATAAATCTAATTAATGTCATTTAATTGACATTTAGACAAATACTTCATTAATCTTTCAAAAGGCATCATATGGTTTTAGAATATCGAGTGCGGAAGTTGAATATAAAGAAGCCCATAGCCAAGTTAGTGATCGACCAACTTTGTCAATCCAAGGCACATTACTTGCAACAATTAAACTTGTACAACATCAAAGACGACTCTTGAGACCTAACCAATTAGTAGTAGAGTCAAGATTTTCATTTATTGAGGAAGAAAAAATGTTAGAAGCGTAAAATATTTATGCAATATGTATATTTTAAATTTTCTATATAAATTCCGTGTAAATCAAGAATAATTTAAAAGTACCGCGAGGATTGAACCCCTCTCCCCCATAACATCCACCACCAACCGTGCATTCAATCCATTAACTACATGTATTACAACCGATCCATTAAAACTCGAAACAAACACTCCTACTTGTGTGTTGCAGTTAAATGCAAGAACAAAGATCAAAAGTAGAAAAGAAAATGTCCGCGTGGATGGCACCACCGTAGAAGATGAGGATGGAGTTGATGATTTAATTGGTCCGAAATCTATCTAAAGGAATTCCTAGATTTCATCGAATAGATTTCACTTGTGTTACTTGTCTCCATACAAATTAGTCCTTTTGATTTCTAGTCTCCACATAAGCCATATAGTCCAGTTTATATCCGTGTCAATTTGTATATCGTATATCTTGTTAGAAAGGAGTAAGAGTTAATAAAGAGAAATATGGTTTCAACATCATCTGCATTGGTGAATGGATTAGGTTCTGCCTTCTTGAATGGTGGGAAGAACAGCCAGATTTTTTTGTCTGAACCAATTGCAGCTAGAACTGGTGGTTCTGCACTGTCTCCTAAGAGGTTTACTGTGGTTGCTGCTGCTGCTGCTGCTCCTAAGAAGTCTTGGATTCCTGCTGTTAAAGGTGGTGGCAACTTCATCGACCTCGACTGGCTTGATGGCTCCTAAATATCCCTACCCCTTCAAGCCTAGTAGCCCCTTGATAGTCACCACTCTATTCTCATTATTGGATAGTCTCGATCAAAGTAAAATAATTCTTTAAATTCGATGACTAAAAGTACATGCGATAATGTTTGCTTAAACTTTTGAGTAATGATAGTCAACGCTACTGTTGTTAGATAGCATTATTCTAAACTTTTAGACCAAGCGTATCAACAAAAATTGATTCAAGTCCAAATATAGTGTGTACGCAACCTGAAAATCAACCGCTTTCTAGTTTGAAAATCCATATCATCCACATTCCCTTGACATGATTATTTGAATGCTTCTATTGTAGGCTCCCCGGCGACTATGGTTTCGACCCTCTAGATCTTAGTAAGGATCCAGCATTCTTGAAAAGGTACAGAGAAGCTGAGCTGATCCACGACCGATGGGCAATGGCTGCAGCCGTGGGCATCTTCGTTGGCCAAGCCTGGATTGGTATCCCCTGGTTCGAAGCAGGAGCTGCACCAGGCGCCGTTTCGCTCTTCTCTTTCGGCTCTCTCATTGGCACCCAACTCCTACTCATGGGTTGGGTCGAGAGCAAAAGATGGGTCGACTTCTTCAACCCTGAATCTCAATCTGTTGAGTGGGCTACTCCATGGTCGAGAACTGCAGAAAACTTTGCCAATGCAACTGGCGAACAAGGCTACCCGGAGGCAAATTCTTTGATCCTTTGGGCTTTGCAGATACACTCAAGGATAGAGTTTATATACCTGATACGGAGAAACTTGAGAGTTGAAACTTGTGGAAATTAAACAAGCAAGACTTGCTATGTTAGCTATGCTTATATTTTACTTTGAAGCTGGCCAAGGGAAGACACCCCTTAGAGCTCTTGGACCGTAAGGAATATTGATTTATGAAGAAATTGAGAGGAGAGGATTCAGATTTTTTCCACATATCTTTGGCTTTGTAAAAATTAATGATTAAATGATAATGTGAATCCATAATAGTAGAAAAAAAAGACGGAAACAACTATGAAAGTAGTTTTTTCTTTTAAGTAAACGGCTGATTTCTTCCATTCACATCAACGTTCCCTTGCATATATTTAGATATGTTTACTTTAGATATATTTAGATATTTAGCCTCTCGGGACATATCCCAATAGTGCAAATGACAGAAATGAAGTAGTCTCAACTTTGCTAACAGTCGCAATATGAGGGTTCGACTCCTGAGATATAAAATTAAATTCTTTGTGGATACCAGTGTACAGGCAAACTCTTATTCCCTGATTTGTTGGGACACATCCCGTAATTTACCTCCCTTACAATGCTCCAAGAAAGGGGCGGTAAGACCCCTCAAAGTTGGGGTTCAACCTTTTTTTAGATATTTTTACTTTAAGAAAATAAAAAATATTGGCTCAACGTGGGCACACAATTTTAGTAGACCCGCTAATTGCCTGTCAATAATACGGATCCACTAACTCTAAATCAATAACCTTGATTGACGAGTAGTTGAGCTGGCTAAAAAAATCGAAACCAACAGAGCTAAATTATGATGAGTCAATTTAGTTTTACTTAAATTTTTTAATGGTTCTGATTCAATTCCAGTACTAATACTCAGAATCGAGAAAAGAGAATCAAGAACCAGTTCTTACACAATTGCTTTTCATTCAATATGTTTATTAGGTGAATGATTTTTATTAGACATAATTATGTTAAAAATGAAAGAGTGAATTGTCCAAATGGTCACTGAACTTTCCAAAAGGTTTCTAATGGTAACCAAATTTTAAAAATAACTTAAATAGTTATTGAACTTTGCAAAATGTTTCTACAAGATCACTGAACTTTAAAAATTACCTAAATGGTCACTGAATTCAATGACCACTGGGAAACCTTTTACAAAGTTCAATGATCACGTGGAAACATTTTACAAAGTTCAATGATCATTTAAGTGATTTTTAGAGTTCAATAACCTCTTGAAAAGTTTTTACAAAGTTCGATAATCATTTAGGCAATTCACTCAAAATAAAATTTCTTCCTTGTATTAAACCGCGTTGATTTAGTTAGTGTTTGATTCACCCAATTCCATGAAAATGGGTGAAAAATCGTGTTTGATTCACAAGATTTTCCATGGAATTGGTTTCTAGCTTTTATTGTGAGCTGTGCTATTTCTTGATTTGGTGGAATTTCAATTCTCACCATATATGGTGAGAATTAGAATTCCCGATTACTATAGAAATTTTTTTTTCGGCTTTTTTTTTTTTATTAGGCAATGGAAACAAATTCTAAAAATTATTGTAAAAAAATATTTCTCTTTTATTGATAATTTTCATGTAAAATAAAGTCAAACGAACACTAAAAAATAGATGATTTTCTTGAATTTTTTTTTTTTTTTTTGCTTTTTGGCGATGGAAACCAATGTCATCCCCAATACCAGTAAATTCTATCATTTTAATTGACAATTTTCATGTAAAATAAAGTCAAACGAACATAAAAAACACTTTTATTTCAACATTTTCCACGAGAAAAATTATACCAATCAAACACAATAATTTATAATTTTCAGGAAAATAATTCTAGGCAATTCAATTTCCTGAAATTCGTTTTCCACCCAATTCAATTTCATCTTTGCAATCAAACGGACCCTTATTATTTTTATTTTAAATGTGAGTATTTAGTTTTGGTGATAGAAATTTGTATTAAAAATTCAAAATAATAATTTAAGAATTTTGATCGTAAAACCAAATCAAATTGATTTGATTTGATTTCATAGTTACTAATGGAACTAACCATTTCATTATATAACAAAAAAAAATGGTTTTGTTTCTAGTTCGATTCCATTTCCATTCGATGAATATCGATCATCACCGCTACTTTTTTTTAACTATTGAAACCAACAAGCATCAAATATGAATAAAATCCATTTGAATGAACAATTTGCACACCAGAATTCTTTATCAACTATCAAAGTCAATATTAGAATATTCGCTTTTAACAAATTTCATTAGAAACGACAATTTCCGCACAAAAACTTTAGGTTAATAAGGTGTGTCAAGAATGAAAATATAGGGACGATTTGTGTAAATATCCCTTTGTAAATAAATATCCAAAAAGTAAAGTCATTAACCCCGTGACCTAGATTTTATCGAAGCGTTTTCTTCATCGAAGATACGTAGAATTTTGGGGAAAATTACGTCTAGGGTTCGATTCTGCTTTTGCAGGTGTAAAAACGTTTTAACCTTCAAGTATATTTGTGTAATCTCGTAGTATAACTTACATCTGTGATTGTTTTTGTCTGTAATTGTTGTATTGATGGTTATGTAGGGAATGACAGAGTTATGTCATACATAGAATTGCTATCTAAAATTTATATTTATCCTTGTATTTGTTACTGAATGGATGTTTTTTATGATTACCATGCAAATTTAATCTGGTTTACGAAAGATACCTTCACTTTGAAACCTTTTGAGACTTTGTTATAGGCTTTTATCTCTTTTGTTACTATTACAAAAATATTACTATATCCATTCACATTAATATCCATTTGTTATTGTTATTTCTGGTGATGAAAGTACGAACATTTTCCAAACCATACTTCGATAATTTATAGCGATGGTAGAGCATGGCTATCTTCCCAGATGGCCAGACCTATCCTCTGAAAAAATGATAATAAAAAAGGAAAGTGGTTGTAAGATAGTTCTGATGAGCATTTTATTTATCGGGTTATCTAGTGGAACATGTCCGCTTGGTTTGTTTCTTTCTCTCTCCTCTCTTGGGAAGATGATCAGGGGTGGACGTAATATTTTCTTTTTCTTTTTGATTCGTTATTTTCTTGAGAAAATATGCTTGAATAGACTCAATTGCTAAGATTACTGACATAGAGTGGCTGTTGTACAAGCCCTGTCTCTACTGTTCTGTAGTTACGAATTATGATTTTATGTTATGTAAATTCATTTCAACACTTCATATATATTATAGGAATGGACTCTTTCATGCAAGTGGTTGTATGTATTTGTAGGTGGCTGTTGACAAGTTCTCTGGACGCTTTCGTGGCTTCGGATTTGTCTCCTTTGATGAAAAGATTGCAATGGAAGAGGCCATTGAAGCTATGAATGGGATTGATTTAGATGGCCGAACCATTACCGTTGATAAGGCAAGGGCAAACCAGGGTTCAGGTAGAGATTATGACAATGATCGCTCACGAGACCGCGACCGTGACCGTGACCGAGGTCATGGTCGTGATCGTGATCGTGATCTTGAGTATGGAAGCGGGCAGGGATCTGGTGGTGAAGGGTGCTTTAAGTGTGGCAAACCTGGACACTTTGCTAGAGAATGCCCTGATGAAGGGGCTAGAAGCAGTAGGTATGGGATAGGTATGGTGGCAGAGGTGGTGGTAGTTATGGTCTTGATCGTAATGGAGATCGATTTGGAGGCCGTAACAGGGATTCTAGTGGCTGTGGGCGAGGTGATCGATATAATCGTGATCGCTCTGGGCCTTATGATCACCGAGGATCTGGGGATTTCTGATGTGGGTGTTTTGATGTCTGACTATAATGTATGCAACGAGGCACTGACAATTTCTTTTATTCCAATCTCCAGTTTATTGTTTAACTGATGGCTTTGCATTCATATTCATGACAGTTGAAAACTTTGAAGACCTGGTGCTCTTGGATGCATGTATTATGTGGTTTCTCTCTTGTTGGCATGTTGGCTAAATGGATCATTGTTGAAAGTGTGAAACTCGGCACTAATAGTTTATATATATCGTGTCACTAAAATGTTCTACTTTTTGGTCCTTTGGGGTCCTTTGCTTGCGTATGTGCGGATTCGAATCTCATCTTTCACTTTTGAATGCTATTATTCCAACTGGTTGTCTCCTTTCTTGCTTACACTATAATTAACTGCTTCTGGATTCATATATTCTCGCATTGGTCCTATTCATCTCATGTGTATGAGGAATGATGTTGAGATCTTGGAATTGGTGATAGTAAGACGTGGCCCCACCATCTGGTGAGATGATGGAATTGCAAATAGATTCTGCCTTAGAAGCCAGGCTCCTTGTATTCTCCTCTGAACTCGGTTTATAATGATAAAATAGGAGTAGACGGGTAATTGTTTATTTTCTACATTTGAAACAGGAGTTGACATGGGTAGTTGTTTATTTTCTACATTTGAACCTTGCCTAAGACTTCAACTTTGCTCTTAATTTTCAATTCTTGCAGTATTGATAATGTTAAAACTTTTTGCAGGCTACCTGGCTAATAATTATCAGATACTTGATGGTTAGCTTGCTTTTGCTATTGGGCTACATTAAAGCATTATTAAATTGAAAAAGCTTTTTGAATTGTGGCAAGCCCTATTCAGTTCCATTATAGCTCTTGTTTTCTACGAAAGTACAACGAAGGAAGAGTTTCATTTCTATTGTAATTTGCAACATCTTTTGATAATCTTCAAGATTTCAGCAACCATTATCTCCTGTTGGTTGAGATCTGGATTTGCTGATTATGTTCGTTTCAATAAACATAAGGATGGTTTTGCCCTTCAAAATTTCTGTTGGAGACTTCTGCTACTCGAATTCCGAACTGTCCCAGATGGAAAAATTTATTCTTGGTCTGATCCTAATTTTCTCTTCGTGCATCTGCTGGTTTCCCCTTATTTCTCTTTATTTTTTCTTGGGGGAAGGTTCCATTTGTTGGTCCTGCTTCTATATGGAAAAGCTATTTTGATTTATGTTATCTGCTGCTAGCTTGCATTTTCAATTCTTACTGAAGATTTGGTTTTACATGATCAATTTATTTATTTATTTGTTTTTGTGGTCGTCAAGAACTTAGTTGCTTTGATCATCCAGCGCTGAATGGCCAAAAAATGATTTGTGTCAAACTCAAATTTTTAAAATGGTTCATAAGCATTAGATGTCAGGTTTGATGTAGTGTTCTTCATTATCTTGCCATAGTGGAATTACTTAGGAACTTTCTCTATTCTGCACCCCACTTGGATTCTTTTGTGGTGTAGATTTGTAATGTTGTACATTTATTCTAACAATTGTTGCACTATAGAATAATTACATTGTTTAGGTTGACTTCGTGTATTTTTTCAAGTTCTATCGCTGTCTACAAGCATTAGTGGGTACGGCTTTGGTGGCTATTGTTTTCCGGTTGTCTCTGGGATTTGATATTATCTGAGGAATTAACTTGGATTCAGTCTCAAGAATTTCTCCACATGCTCATCGATGTGGGCATTAAAGTTGTTCTGTGGCTATTTGAAACTAAGCCCTTGTTTGGGATCCATTTTAACGAGGTTTTGAAAAAACATATTTTCGAATAGTAATATTTTTTTAAGAATGTGAGGTTGAAAAGTAAGGAAAAATTTTAGGTTTACGTGCAATATTATCTTATTGAATAATGTGATTGAAAAGAGTAGAGAGAAAGATGTATTAAAATTTTAATGGAGTTCAAACAGGGATTGTTTGGGAAATAAGAGCACGTGTTGCTTATTGGCCAATTTATTTATTTATTTTTTTCAAGAAATTTGCTATTTCTACACTGATTTTTGACACTTTAGTTGACGCTTACATTGTTGTCAAGTGTGAATTAGATGAAAAAATTGTTTGAAATTTAAACTGTCCAATAGGATAATGACATGTGACAGTGTAAACTAAAATGTGTACCATAATGTACATGTGGCAAGGTTGTTTTTTCAAACCGTTTACGTGTCTAAATTTATTAAGATAGTTTTTGTTTCTCAACTTGGATTGATGACCAGAATTGAAGCGAGTTATATTTGTAGGGCAAGGTATACAGACTTAATTGGAAGTTGGTTATCAATTTATGCTCTAGTAATAAATTTATGATAAGTACAGGTGTGTGTTTTATTTTTATTTTTTATTTTTTATTTTTCTTTCCAATTAGGGATAGCAAAAAAATTGTTATACTCGATATTCATGGTCTTAATCCTGAACGAGGTGGCTACACGGGTGGGTATGGGTGCGTGGAATGTTGCATCGAGACGGAGGTGGGATTGGTGCAGGTAGAGATGACAATCAGACTCGTCGGCTCGGGCCACTCGTAGCTCGGCTCAGAAAAAGCTTGAGCCGGCTTGGCTCAAGGCTCGGAGGCACCAAGCCAAAGCTCGGGTCGAGCCGGGCAGGCCCGTATTATTTTCTTAAAACTAAATAAATAGAAGGGGGGGGGAATATGCTACCTATTTGGCAGCTAACTTGCTGCCAACAGGCAGCTATGACAAGCTGCCAATTGGCAGCAGAAGGCAGCTAAAATAAGCTGCCAAACAGGCAGCAATAGGTATAGAAAAAAAAATTAATTTAGCTGTGAAACAGGCAGCAATAGGTATAGAAAATAATAATAATGATGATGATGATGATGATGATGATAATAATAATAATAATTCCAGAAATCGAGCTCGGCTCAGCTCGGTTCGGTAAAGTTCGAGCCAAAAGCTCGAGTCGAGCATTTATTTTCTGACCGAGCTTTTGCTCGGCCACTCGGGCCAAAAAAAGTCCGCCTTAAAAAAGCTCGAGCTCCAAAAATTTTGACTCGTGAGTCGGCTCGACTCGTTGACATCCCTAGGTGCAGAAAACATGGTTCCCACCTTGTTTAAAACTCATTTCAAAAATTAAAAAAATAATAATAAAATCATCATTATTTTTAGAGGAAATATGGATTTCCAACAATTTGAAAAAAGTAATGATTTTTACCAATCAAAAATATTTTTAAAAAAAATTGAAGAAAAAAATAAACTGGAGCAAAATGACGTGGGGGATCCATCCTGTCCCGCCCCAAACCACCGTAATTGGGTATGGAGCGAGACAAAGAGCCAAAATTACTCGACGAGATTGAGAAGGGAATGATTGTCCCAAATATGTTATAAAAAAAGAACTTGTCGTCCCTCGGGGCATAGCTCTGTTGTGCAAATGACAAGAGTGAGATTATCTCACGCCTTGCTAACAATCGCAATATGGAGGTTCAATTTTTGAGACATGGAATTGGACTCCTTATAAACACAGTGTACATGCAGCTCTTGTTCCTTGGCCTGTTGGGGCAGATCTCGTGATTTACCTCCATCACAAAACTCTAGGGACGGGGCAGGGCAGTGAGGATCCTCAAGGTTGAGGTTCAACATTTTTTTTTTTAATAAAGAACTCGTCTGTCCTATGATTGATAAAGATATTATCCAAGTAAGGTTGAAAATTTTTACAACTTCCATTCTATAGGTATAATTTAATTTGGTTGTCTAGTAGGGGTTTGAGGCTTTTTTGTAACCGTCTATACAAGATTTTTTTCCCCCAGTTTGCCTTTTTGAGGTGGGCGTAAATGAATAGGAGAGTTATTTTTTTTAAAATTTTTTTTATATTCTGCCAAAGATATAGACAACCTTGAATCTAAGAATGCGTTTGGTTTCTGTTTCTATTTTCAATTAAGAATTTATTTTCTATTTTCTATTTTGAGGGATAATTTTAAGATTATAAAAAATGCGTTTGATTTGTCATTCTGAAATTTTTTTTTTTAAAAATAATAATAAAAAGAAAAATGAAAAGTAAATAGAAAATGCATTTGGTTTAAAAAATTTTAAAATAGTTTTATGACCTTTTTTCAATTAATTTGATTATTTAGTAAAATATACGGATGATTCATGCTAATATGTGATTAAAAAATAAAAATTTTAAAGTTGGGAAAAAAAAAAGGAATCATTAGGAGTATATTCCCAGATCATCTGTATATTATAAATAATTGTCGCTCATATCATGTATGCACTTACCATAATCATTTATAACAATAGTCCGACAAATATAAATATCAATTGGATAACAACTATTTGAGAAACTGGAAAATTACCTTCACTTTTCTGACTTGAGGTTTGAGAAATAGCACCAGAGAGATGGATTCTCCATTAGAGCCAGGGTTCTTGGAGGAGCTTTTAGAGAGAGAGACTTTAAATGCATATTTTGAAAAAGAGGCAAATTGGAAAAATGTTGTTAAATTATAAGTTTTTTAATTAGTATAAACATGAATTTTTATGACTTTAAGTAGTTATTATTTTATATATTCATTGGACCTTAAATAATTCAAAAAAATTATTATTATATGCATTTAGTGAGATTATTAATTTAGTACGCTGGCCCAAGACGGGATCGAAGAATTTTATTATTTAAGTTAGAATATTAATTTATCGAGATTTTATTGTATCTCTTTTTCATTCCACGCCATTTGTTATAGCCTTATAATTAAGCACATTTTTGAGGTGTAATTAAGTTTCACAGATGCAAATTATTGATCATTAGCCATTCAAATTAGAAAGAGAGGCATTGAGAGTCGAAGAGGGTTGATTTGGTTGGTAAGAAAAGGCCAAATCCTTTGCGTAATCGCTGCATACACTATCCTACATGTGTCTTAAACCCGTCTCGGACTTAAGGTCCCTTAAACATATCAATCTCTCCTTTTTAATACCAATTCTTCTAGCACTTTCTCACTTAAGTCTCTGCCCATTTTTGTTTTCTTTATTCACTTTCATAGTTTCTTTGGTGACTATTCTGGCAAGTTCATGTTATCCGCGGCGACTGTACATGTTGGAAATGGCAAAGGAAGGATGACTAAAATCTTCAACGAGGCGCCCGTCCAATGCCGAGGCGCCACCTCAACGGATGGTCCATACCTTTGCGGTTTGTGGTAGGCCACTCGTCGAGGTGGCGCTGGCCCACCTTGATAACGGTGCGACCACTCCAAATAAATGTTACCTATGAAATGGGGTTGGGGCTTTCTCCCCCGTTGTATCACCAGCGTGAGAATTAGTACGTGATCTTTTTAGATAAAGACTTATGAGAAAATATCTATTGAGTATTCATATAGCCAAAGATTTTTTTAGAGAGATACCTATTCGCTTTAGGTGTATTTATAGGTGATTGGAGCCACGTAAATGTTGGGCGGTTATGATTTCATGTGTCCCACGTACCCTCTTCCGCTAACCCATGTTCTGAGTGGGAGACCTCCAACTATTCGACAATTGGCTGTGTCCGTGACAACCATTAAGCGACCCCCATCCAATTCATTGATTTTTTATGGCAAAGTGTTGGGTTGGCTGTGCAGTAGTAGAGGGTCTCCTAGTGGTTAATGGTCCAGCATAGATGTAGAGGGCCTCATAGTGATCAAAGGCCCAACATTGACGTAGAGTGCTCGTAAAGGTCGACGGCCCAACAGAGATGTAGAGTGCTTATGGTGGTCGACGGTCCGGTATAGACATAGAGAACCTCACTTTTTTGGTCATCATAGATAGACGATTATTAATGTCATCCAATATCAAAGGATAAACTAAAAGGAGGACTATTTGCATATGAAAAATGTTTCGAGTAAACGTACTGAAAACTCTCCTTATCCAAGTGATGCAATCGTGGTAGAACTTAAAATTAGAGATAAACTAAATATAGTTTATTATGGTTACCCAAGATTTGACTCAAATTTGTTGAAAAAAAGAGTGAAAATGTCGGCAATATGTTTTGCTATAAAATTTTTATGTGCCAATTTTTTCATTGGAACTCCCTTTCATATCCTTCTCATTAGTTATTGAATCAGATTGCTATAGCATGCAGTATTGACTTGTTTACCTATATTTCATCTCTCAAATTATACAATAATCACACTGAAAGATCATTTAGCTGAAGTGATTACTTGAAATAACATTAGTTTGAAGTTTGAACTGATACTGAATCCTTGTAAACCTACCTTGAACATGCTTAACTTTCTAACAATTGGTTTCTTAGGGCCTTCGACCTTAGAAGCCATTGGAACAATTGAGGGAAAATTTGAATGCGGGTACTTGATATCTGTATAACTTGGTGAAGAAAATCTCAATGGCGTGCTTTACGAAGATGATTGTAGAATTATGGACCAAGCTCACTCCTGAAGAGAGAATGGTAAGTTCAATTATAAAAGGTCTCGTGCTTGTGTCTATTACGATGAAATTTATGGCTATTACGATTAGGTAGATTATAAAGTGCTAGTTTTAAGAAGATAAAATTTTGTCTAAATTACAATAGAGTCCTATTCACTAATGAGCAATGTTACAAGTATAGAATTTTTCAATAGATTTTGTACATGAAGACAGCTATCTTTCTGTACTAATTCTGTTAAAAAAATTTGTACATGCAGAGTTTTCCTTCATATATACTCTAAACCATACATACTCGAAGTATAATTTCAAATTATTTAATTCGATAATGTTGGTAAATCATTAGGTTTACCAAAACCAGATCTTGAAGGACAAGGGGAGATACCTGAAAGAAATGGAGGATTACGAGAGAATCAAGATTGAGCAGTTCCATTGAAGTCGAGGAAGATAATGAAAGAAACAACTCCCAAACATGGATTTGTCTTTGAGAACCTAGGAATCATGTGGAGTTCACAGCTACATTACTTTCATTTTTTGCTTTGCGGATACAAGTTGTGGGCTTTTCATTCATGCACCGGTTGTTTCTTTGGCGACAAAAACTCTTCTCATTTGATTAGATTAGATGGATTCGTATATTCTCGCATGTACTCTGTTCTTCTCAGCGTCTTTATGGATTTATTTGTGTACGAGGAATGATGGCGAGAGCTTGAAATTGGTGGGATTTTAGACATATTGTTGTTCATGCAATTGAAACATAGAATCTGCCTTGGAATGTGCTTGCTTTTGCAATTGGCTAAGCATAATTGAAAAATTTATTTGTGGATGTTATGTAATTTGTGAGTAAATTAATTTTTGACTTTAAACTTACAATTTTTGAGCTTTTCTAAACAATCATTATTATAGAAAAAGGATTTTAAATAGTGATTTTTAGGAAAACATGGGCTTAAAAAAGTAAATTTCTTTTTGATATACGTGTAAAATATTTTATTTTGTGAATTTGTGATTGAAAATTGTCTTGTAACAATTATAAAATAAATTAACGTGTATCAAACAGACATTTAACCCTTTTTTGGTGGGATTAAAATCTAACTTTTAGTAAATTTTAATAAAAGTTAATAAAACATATAGTTGAAAAGTTATGAATTTTATAAAAAAATATATAATTAAAATTAAAATCTAAATTTTAATGTTCACCAAACGGCATCTTAGTTAAAATAGAAAGTCATAGTGTGGGGGTTCGATTCCTGAGACATAGAATTGGACTTTTTGTAGGCGCAGTGTACATGCAACTCTTATTCCTTGACCTGTTGGAGCACATCTCGCAATTTACCTCACTCATGAAACTCTAGAACGGGGTGGTGAGGCTCTCAAAGTTGGAGTTCAATATTATTATTATTATTATTATTACCTCACTTACAAAACCTTAGAACGGGGCGGTGAAGCCCTCAAAGTTGGGGTTCAACATTATTATTATTATTATTATTTTTTATTATTAAATAGAAGGTCACATAACGGCAATATTTCATCAACGGCACAGAACAATAAATGGTTTCTTCCTTCCTTCCAAGCGCAATCAATCAATTCAATCCTCGTGACCTCTCAAAGAAGTCCAACATTTCTCCCAATCCTCCGTATGATCTGCATTTCCCAATAATCAATTAAATTTATACTATTTTTTGGGGTTTTGGATACAGAAGTTGTTGGGAGTACTATCTGATGAACAGATGAATGTGGAAAAGGTGGAGCCATTGCCAGACGACTTCGATCCGACGGCCGTCGTTATAGAACCGGTGCCGGCAGTTGTAAACGACGACGCATCAGGAATCAATGGAGAAACGAAGAGAGAAATCGTCCTCGGGAGAAATATACACACACGGTGCTGGGAGGTTAAGGAACCTGATGCGGATGATGAGGCCACTGGAGAACGGGAAGCGTTCATGGCTAGTGTCTTGGCTCGGTATCGGAGGACCTTAATTGAACGAACCAAAAATCATTTAGGTACGTAGAATTTCGCAATTTAGTTATTTGTTTTGTCAATTCATGGATATATTAATTGCTGTTTTGTCGAAATTTCTTTAGGAGGACCAAGAACTCCTTTTGTTTTACTCAATTTATTAATCAATCCTTTAATTTTTAGATTTCTGCTCAAAACAGTTTTTCATTTATATTGTTAACTGAGATGGTCGGAAGTGTGAACTTAAGAAATGCACATGTGGAATTCTATCTCGAGTTTTTGCATTTACAAAGCGATGACACACAAGAAGATGAAGAGAATGGAAAAAATTTATACAACTCGTCATCTGGTCCGGAGAGTTTTACAGAGGATAACTTGCTCTTGCTTAGTCTAGCCTTTCTAGGTTAATGAAATGCTGTGTGACTGTGTCTTGGATCCCGGATTTCAGGAAGGAAAACCATTTATTGTTCTATATATAGAAAGGAAAGCAATTGACAGAGGATAGAGTTGAGGGATGAGGTTTAGTCTATGGATGTGTAATTTGCATGTTTCAGCCAAGAATTGGGTGTTGGTGTTATTATTTCTCCAAAGAATTCGATTTCACTTGGTGTGCTATCATTGGACAAGGATCTGTCTCATTAAATTTGAAAAGCTTCACTGCTTTTTTCTTTTTCTTTTGAAGGCCGTGATACATATTATTGCCGAATTATCTCAGTTGTCTTATGAAATTATTCAGGGTTGAGAAATTTCTTTCTTGCCATAAAATGATTTTGATTTATGCTTCACAGTTACTCTTTGATGGTCCGACCTTCTACTTCTGAAATCTTAGTTTGGAAATTAGAGGTTAAACAATTGTGACACAGCTGCCCATTCATATACCTCTTCACCATCATTACTGACACCATCAACAGTTCAATTATATTCATTAAAACTTCTCAAAAGAGTTGTATTCTCAAACTTATCCAGAAATTTCAAGGTATTAACCTGAAACATGACTGATGCCATTTCAGCTGCACCTCTTAGCTGGGGTGAAACCACTGAGGGTATCCAATTGTTTACATGGATCCTTAGACATTTCCTATGAACATATTTAACTATATCAAATCTGATGGATGAGAACATCCCATTACCATTTCATGTTATTGCAGTTTTCTACATTGTAGTCACGTCCTAAACTAACCTATTTAATAGGTTATCCCTATAATCTCGATTTTGAGTATGGTGCATTAGCTCAGTTGCAACACTTTTCCATCAACAACCTTGGAGATCCATTTATTGAGAGCAATTATGGTGTACATTCCAGAGAGTTTGAAGTTGGCGTGTTAGATTGGTTTGCCCGACTGTGGGAATTAGAGAAGAATGAATACTGGGGTTACATTACAAATTGTGGTACAGAAGGCAACCTTCATGGTATACTAGTCGGGTTAGTATTATAAGCTCTAGTTGAGAAATGTTCTTACATTCTCATATCTGAATCTTTCTAAACTAAAGCCATTAGATGATTGGCTTGCAGGAGGGAAGTATATCCAGATGGAATCCTGTATGCCTCACGAGAATCGCATTATTCAGTTTTTAAAGCAGCAAGAATGTACAGGATGGAATGTGAAAAGGTTGATGCTCTGGTCTCTGGTGAGATTGATTGTGTGGATTTCAAAGCCAAACTACTGCCTCACAGGGAAAAACCTGCAATCATCAATGTGAACATAGGTATTCTCTCCCCATCCCCCATCCCTGCACCCATGCTTACACCCCCACAAAAGAAAAATAAGGCCCACGTAGGCACGTGTTTAATCTCCTGCTCTCCACTTGATATTATTAGGGGTACTTTTAAAATTGACCTAGTCAAAGGTCCTTATTTCCACTTTGACTTTTAAAACCTTGAAAATTATCACATTAACCTCTTGAATGGTAAAAGACAGAGATACCTTTAAATTTATTATGTAATTACAAAATATTGGATAATTTAAAAGACATTATTACCCTTTTAGTTAATAATTAAAAATCAAACACTTCCCCACTTAAAAAACTGCAGAACGAGCTTTGAACACAGAAAAACTCTCATTTTTCATTTGCTTGAACCTCAAAATATCAAAAAATTTTAAACGCCGAAGCCAGAATTTTTTTGAGGTCAATTACTTCAAATCGGTAAGTATATTTTTACACATGCTTAATTTCAATTTCAGTAAGTTAGTGTACGTTTGAGTTGTTAAATAACACAATAGTTAGTAGAATTTTTTTTTAACAGATCTATAATTTTTTTCATTAGAACCATAGAAAAGTAAAAAGTCATACGCAAAATAAACAGTCCAGCGATTAACTGTGGGATGTTAACAAAGAATGTTAGACAGCAGACAGCTGACTGTCAAAAGACTGTCTAACAGCCGACGACTGTTAGTAAGCTATTTCTCACATTAACAGCCGACCAACTGTCGGCTTTAAACAATTAACTGTCGACTGTAAAACAGTTCACAGTCAGCTGTTTTACAAATTTTTTTATTATTAATTTTTGTTTTGACAATTGCCTTATAATTTTAATTACAAGTTGATTAAATATCTGAATTTTTGTTGTTGTAGTTGATTTAAAAATTCTATATCGTCATGCAGATATGATAATCTCGGTTTGTTATTTCGTTGATTTCAAACTGAATGAAAATAATAGATGGGAATGAAGATGGACGAGTGATGTATGTGGTTGTATTACAATTCCCATAACAGAGAGTGCATCATATGCGAAAGTGTACCAGGATTTGTAAAATAAGCTGAATGGATTCGTCCATTCCGATGCCACCTATATTTGTTACTAATGATACTAAATTGAATTATCTATTAGAATTGAATAAAATGCATAGGACTCCGACTGTTCTTGGCGTGACTTTAGTTAAGAAAGATGTTGTCGAAGGTGAACGTGAAGTTTCAAATGGAGCGGATAATAATGACCGAGATTTTTTGGAGACAGTGGAGATAGTTCCTGCATATGATGTGGTTGTTCCTGAGACAGTTGCTACTGATCGTGAAGTCACTGTTATGCACAGAATTCCGTCGATAGTTGAGGACAACAAAAATATAAATGATTTTACAAATGAAAATTTAATTGCTTTATCCCCACAGAGGCCTGAGCGTAGTGGCAGCTCAGGGGGTGGAACAAGTGGACCGTCCTCCAATTCTTCGCGTGTGGCTCCCAATGATGAGGATTTGTATGTCGAGCAACTATTTGAAATCAAGAATTATTTGTAGGAAGCTATGCACCGGATGACATTAAAATATAATTTTGAGTTCAAGGTAAAAAAAATCAACCAAGTCATTGTTGACAGTTGTCTGCGTTTTTGACAATTGTAATTGGCGCTTGAGAGCGACTAAGATGGACACGAATGAGTGCTTTGTAGTTCGCAAATATGCACAGGAACATACTTGCGAAATGAAAATTTGTCGAAATGATCACAGGCAAGCTCGAGCATGATTTATTGGTCGATAGATAATGCACAAGTATGAGGACCCACGGACGATCTACGGACCTTCGGACATTATTAATGACGTCCGTCGAGAGTATGGAATGGTCATGAGCTACCAGAAAGCCTAGAAGGTCAAAGAATGTGCGCTGGAGGATTTAATGGGATCGGCTAAGGAGAGCTATACTAAATTGGCCAGGTATTGCCTTAACATGGGAACAACTAATCCTGACATGGCATTTTTTATTAAGACGGGGGGTGATAATTATTTTAAATATTTCTTCATGACTCTCGGACAATGTATTCGGGGTTTTCGAAATGCAATGCGACCTGTAATTTTAGTTGATGGTACAACTTTGAAAGTTAAATATCAAGACAAATTAATTATTGCTACATGTCAAGACGCCAACATCCAAATTTACCTTATTGTATTATTCATAGTCGACAGCAAGAATGATCTGTCCATGCGTTGGTTCTTTTCTAAACTGAGGGAAGTGATCAGAGAAGTCGAAGACCTTACCTTTGTAACCGATCGGGGACAATCTATAATAAACGGTATCACTGAAGTTTTTCCCAAGGCACATTATGGATATTGCAAGTACCATATACAAGGTAACTTGAAGATTAGGTATCGGGGCAAAAGTATCGTTTCATTGTTCAGGGGAGCAGCCGAAGCTTACAGTACTGAAGAGCGTAATAAGTTCATGTTCGAGATAGGAAGAAAATCATTACCGGCATTGGAGTATCTGACAAACATGGGGATCGAACATTAGGCGCCGTCATACTTTCCAGGACGTCGATACAACATGATGACGTCGAATAACGAAGCGTCTCTCAATGCATTGTTTAAGAAGGATCGAGAGTTACCAATTCTCACAATGATTGAGAATATTCGTAACAAGCTGCAACAGTGGTTTCATGACCGACGTGCGCATCACAGAGTTGCACTAGCGTGTTGACCCCAGCTCAAGAGGATAAACTCTTTAAGGCGACAGAGGTTGCGAGAAAGTTGAATGTGGAAGCACTAGACGACATGCACCTGTAAGAGATTTCAGTTGGAGAGTTTTTCATGTAAGCATGCAGTTGCGGTGGCCATGTATCGAGGCTTTGCAGCGAGAACGTTATGCTCTTTGTATTATACGACTGAGTCTTGGAGAACAATATATATTGAGACTATATTTCCTCTGCCGAATGAAGCTGAGTGGGAAGTTCCCGAGCACATTCTCCTGTTTCATAATTTGTTGCCATCATCATTTGAACCGCGTGGTCCTGGACGTCCAAATACATCTAGAATACCATCTACCGGAGTGTTTCCTCGACCGCGTAGGTGTGGCAAGTGCAGAGCCATAGAGCATACACAACAATTTTGTACCAGTCAAATTCCCCTAAATAACAATTAGACAGGTACGTTAAATGAATAATATTTCCATTTACTTTACATTATTCAATATTTGTTCTTCATAAATGTTCAGTGTTCAATATTTATTCTTGATAAATGATATTTATAATGATTCATATGAAAAAAATAGTTCCATACTCGACATATGTGTAAAATAATAAAAAATCAACTTACAAAAAAAAATTAAATTTCCAATGTAAATGTTATATACATTGAACACAAATTTACAATTATTTCATAATCACAAAAAATAATTAAATTTACAATTCAAATGTTACATATATTTAATACAAATTTACGGGTCACCATTAAATTCGAACAAATCACAAGTTAGCTTCTTTCTCCAGTTCTATATTCACGATTGGTTGATTCCATCAACGTACTTAATGGCAAATATGCCGTAGTCACCGCTACAATTGAACAAAAATGGATCAGTTCAGTACTTTGTAGCTAAAAACTAAATCTGAAAGATGAAAACAACAAAGTTCAAACACTTACCTTATGGACTATGGCATTGTCGTCGTGTTCCGAACAATCCGCAATATGTCCTGTACAGTCATCTCCTCTTGTCTGACCATCATAGGAATAATTATAACTACGGACTCCAAGTTTTGCTCCAGCTGTGGCCTTGTGTCAAACATGGATCGTACACAAATATAATCGTGTCAGCAAAAATGATCTCCAGCGTAACATAGTGATTATTAATGCAAGCTGGAATATACATATGTTTACAACCCTCCCATGATTTTTCCCCGACACTCGGTGACATTCCTATGACCCACTCAAGCATATATTCTGTCACCGTGTATACGTTACCCATAAGTTGGAGCGACTAATACTCTATGATAACGGCAAACAGGAACTCGGTGTTTAATATGACTCGACTATGGACGTCAAATGATTTTGGATGTCTTTGAGGTCGATCTCGCAGTAAGTCCATGGCCAGGTCGATGTACTGTATCAGGAAACACCAAAAAAGTATGAGTTATTCATTTAATAAACACAAAGTGAGATATACATAGAAAACACGAAATAAATAGTTCACTTATATCGTCGGCGAGCCAAGCTTCCGAAGTGATGATATCGTGGAACCACTTGTAAGCGTCCAAGACCGTCCGGTTGCCTATCGTCCAGCTAACTCTGAAAAAATAAGGAAATGTTAAAATAAGCATAGACGAGTTAGCAGAGAGTGCTTTATTAAAATCATACAATACTTACCCAGGGATAATTCTCCTTCACTCCATCTCGAACGCTTTCAACTTGGCGTTGTCCACCTCCCTGAATAAGTTCGGGTACGTACCATCGATGAACGTCCTCCTCTTTGCCTCAGCCGTGAAGGGGGAAACAACATACTGTGACGGTACTCAACCTCTTGCCGACCACTTGCTCCTTTTCATCAACAGCATGTCTCTTATCCTCAATCACGACGGGCGTCCTCTCGACCTCCAGGGCCACCTCATCCGCCCCTCCCATCGGGGCCACCTCCTCTATCGCCACCTCCTCCGTCCTTTCCATCGGGGCTTTCCCCTCTGTCGCCCCTCTCATTGGGGCCACCCTCTCCGTTGTCCCCTCTCCATAAACAATCAAAATGATTCTAATGTCTCATCACTCCAAAAATGTAGGTGACCTCCTCTCCATCACCATCTCTGCCACCCTCTCGATCATCATCTCCACCATCCCCTCTGTCCCCCCATCGCCTACCGGCTAAATCTCTTCTAAGTGCCGCTACCGTGTCCTGAAGGTCGACAATGCAAGATCGTAGCATTCCAACATCATGGACCCTCCATGTCAACTCTCGTCCCAAATCATCGACCGACCCTCTCCGTCAACTCTCGTCGTAGAGCGCCGACCTCCTCCGCTATAAATCCAGTCAGACGGGCATACAAATCATCACTGTGTGTCGGAGATACACGGTAGGGAGAAAGAGATACCCTCGGCGGTGGCGATGCCCTCGACGGAGGTGATGCTAATGGCAACGACGATGCTCTCGACGGAGGTGATGCCAATGGTGGTGACGATACCCTCGACGGCCTTCCTACATAAATAACATTAAAAATTATTCAATAAAATTATACGTCGATGATATTCAATAAATTATATTTAATTCACATACCTAATCTCGGTCCAAGCTTGGATCAGACATCTTCTCGTCTTAGGTGTGCGGAACACCTAAATCCCGAACAAGACCCCGAGCCTCCTCTTCCATCGACGGCATCAACTCAGGTATGACTTCAAACTGATATATTGACATTTCAACTAGTTAACGATCATGTAAACAGATTTTAAATTACGTATAATATAAATCATAAATGCATAATACTTACCTGAGGATCGTCGAGGAGAGCCGATAACTGTTTCCTAGTGGGCATCCGTCCTTTCGCGATGATCTTTAATGATGCATCCAAGGACATCGTATCTCTCCTCGATTCGCGAAGTGGGCCCCCAGTACAGGGACTGTCTCATACGCCCGAATCTGCAATACATACACTTATTATGCGTAGATGTAATATACTAAAACTTTAACTTTAATTATATTAAACATTTACCTACACCGCTAAGGACAATCTATATGTATTGTATTTACGCATTGACCCCCTGGGTCTCGAGTGTGATTTGGTGAAGACATGTACGGTGTATTTGTAGCATCTTCGACCGCATGGATAATTGTTGAACGCATCGAAGTTGTCAACAACTTTCGAATGAAAAATATCGATGGCAGTCTTCTTGTGATGACACCTCATCACACTCTCGAGGATATGGACCAGCCCAAGCTTCAATCTATCTAGCATTTGGTCACACCCCTGATCGTGACCATCAACTCGGGTAGGTGCACCGACCGTAATAGTCGGTCCGCTTAACAGTCAATAAGCTGACTAAACAGTCAACCCAAATAATGGGCCGACTGTTAATTAGTCCAAATTTAAAAAATTGTTATTAGGCCGATTGTTCGTACTATTAACAGACAGTCGGGCACCTGGCTATTAACAGCTAAGCGTCGACTGTTAACACCCCCAAAATGTGGCATTTGCCGGAAAATCTTCATTTTCGGCGAGAAAAGCTTGCAAATCTCAAAATCCACCTATTATTCTCCAATTTAGACCCATATTCATACTTCTATACCTAAATAACCAATATTACATTCCAAAAACCTCTACAAATTCAACATTCACACACAATATGAAAATCTAAACATTAATCTTGTAACGCCCCGACCCCTAGTGGACCGAAACGCTACTTACTTTACTTAGCTTAACCGGTGGTTTAGTTACAAGTGTATACATTTTAGCGGAAGCTTACATCTTCGGATAATAATTTAAATAACAATACCTCAAATATTTTAAACAAAAACTCTGAATCATTTTTCAAAACAACAAAATGTAATTTATTTGAAGAAAACATAACTTGTTCTCGCATTCTGCATTATTCAAAACTTTAAAGAAATAACATTGGAAAACATTTCATAAAAATAAATCCAAATCACTTATTCACTTGATTTTTATGGGCTCGTTGCATCACTCTCCATCTTCTCCTCCATCCATGCCCGAGGTAGAATTCCTTCAATTTGTAGAGATGAGATTAAACCCGTGAGTTGAAAAACTTAATAGGTGTCATAGGTGCAGTCATGATCAAGCTATACATTTCAAAACATTAACTTTATAACTTTTCATACATGCCGTACCCAGAGGCACCATTTGACATGAAGGGGTATGCCGTACCCGAGGGCACCATTTGATATACGAACATTTCTTTAACATAGAGGGGTATGCCGTACCGGAGTACCATTTGACATACAACCATTAACATAGAGGGATATGCCGTACCGGAGTACCATTTGACATACAAACATTAACATGAATCGAAACTTATAACTTAATACGATTAAACACATTGCACCTCTACCTACCTTAATTGATGCTTTTGAAACTTTGAAAACTTGGATTGAAAATTTTGATGAAACTTGGACGTTGAAAGAAATGCACTCCTTGGATGTTTGAAAACCGTTGAGAATTGATGCTTGAAGACACTCCTTAAACTTCTAGGAAAAATAGTTTTCCTCTCTCTCTTTTTCTCTCTTGGAAACTCTTTCTTTAGTATGTAAAAGCTCTTCTTGCTTTTGGTGTGAGAAAAAATGAGCGAAATGAGATCTCTATTTATAGGTAAATATCCCATAACTTAAAGCAAATGAGGGGTCAAATTTCATTTAAGAGAGAAAACATTGGTGCCATTTAAGTTTGAGGTTAAATGCTTCAATTTAATGGGGGTTTTTATTGCCAAAAACGTGGGTGGCCCTTTGAAAAAATAATTAATGAAAATAAATATTTAAATTATAGAGAAAAACGAGAATTTTAATTCCAAGCAGTTTCGGTCGGCCGGTTGTAGTTCGGTTGACACTGCACAACTTTCAGTGTTCCTATCATAACCTTTTCTCCTGATATCCGATTGAGATAATTCAAAGTGCATTGGAAAGCTAACTAAAAGAGCTACTAGATATCATTTTTCAAATCGAATGTTTCCTACGTCGAAAATGGGTCTCAAATGAAACTAAAAATCTGAAGTATACTTTGGTCATCCAATATTCATGTTTTAGTGTCACTAAGGTGTCTAGAATTATTTGGGGTTCTACAAATCTAGTTAATTAACAACTCGAAGCTTACCTTAACAAGAAGAAGGTCGCCGGAGATGAACTGAAAACATCTATCGACTGGAAACCGACCGTAACTTTTCCTTGGTTTTGGCCGATTGTGAGCAAATGAGAAAGTGACCGTCTGAGGGTATTTTGGAATTTTGACCTTTAAAATCAATTTTCGTTTTTTTCTCTAAAATCTGGTCAAAGGCTACTTTGGAAATACACATGGGTTGTTGGGTCATTTTCAATGATTTCCTCATATTAATGTGACCTTATCAATCACCTTTTTGTAGGAACAACTGTAAAAGGTGCTGTGGATGATCTTGATCTGGTGATCCAAACCCTTGAAGAAACTGGATTTTCACATGACAGATTTTATATCCATTGTGATGGGGCTCTATTTGGTCTCATGATGCCTTTTGTTAAACGTGTAAGTAGTTATTTGCTTTCTGAATTAAATGAATATTTTTTTAATGTAAAAGTTAGCTGAGATATCCCATGAGAATTACATCGTTAATTCATGATAGAGAGGAGCCAGCCATTGGTAAATAAACTTGCAGAACACTGGCTAATCATTTCATCTGATGCAACTTGACATTGTTCCCTTTGTTCAACCTGTTTTAGTGAGGTTGAATGAGTTGGATCTTCTTTGTTAAATCTTCGATAAAACTGTGAATCATGACTTCTACTTGGGTTTAACATAGAGGCCATAATTGAAAGCATGATTTTCGTGAAAAATAGTGGCAGCTAAAATGTCCTGATCTGTGGATCAGTTGTATGATGAACTGAGGTAAATAAAGGGGAGTGCCTGTTTATAACTCATGCCAGAATGTTCATAATTTTCAAGTAATATAAGTTTCACCAAGTCAAACTTTTTTAAGAGCACTATTTTTAATTGATAATTTCTTGATTTTTATTGAACTATTGTTGAATAAGTTGCCATCTAAGAAGGCTGCTATGTTCAGAATGCTGGAAAAAAAGGTTTATGAACAGATATTCTGCAGATGAATACATATATATCCTTTCAGTACACGAATACATTGAACATTTGAAATTATATTTTTTAACATAAAGAGATGGATTTTGATTATCCTTCCCGCTGATTAATTGTCTTATCAGGCACCAAAAGTTACCTTTAAGAAACCTATTGGAAGTGTGAACGTCTCGGGCCACAAGTTTGTGGGATGCCCAATGCCATGTGGAGTCTAGATAACAAGATTGGAGCACATTAATGCACTCTCGAGGAATGTCGAATACCTTGCTTCTCGGGATGCAACTATCATGGGAAGCAGGAACGGGCATGCACCAATCTTTCTCTGGTATACCTTGAACAAAAAAGGATACAGAGGGTTCCAGAAAGAAGTCCAGAAATGCCTTCGTAATGCTCACTATTTGAAAGATCGTCTTAGGGATGCCAATATTGGGGCAATGTTAAACGAACTCAGCAGTACCGTTGTTCTTGAACGTCCTCCGGATGAAGAGTTCATTCGTAAGTGGCAGCTCGCATGCCAAGGAAATATTGCCCATGTGGTGGTTATGCCCAATGTTACAGTCGAAAAGCTCAACAAATTCCTGAACGAACTAATTGCTCTACGTGCAACATGGAATGGGGATGATAGGAAGCATCAGTCTCCTTGTGTTGCATCAGATATAGGCAAAGAGAATTGTCTTTGCTCTCTTCACAAATGAATATGGCTCGTGTTTTAGAGAAGCTGCTGTTAGTTGTTTGCTTAATTTCATCTTACTATGAACTATTTTTAGGTTAAATCTATGAATGTTCACCAGCTTTTAGCTGATTACTACTTGCTTGAACTAACAAAAGGTATTTATTACTTATTCATCTATTATATTTTCTTCCATCCACCATTCTTTAAGAATCCATTTACATCCCTTGACGGAAAATCCTACATGGGACTTACATAATCTTTGTTCACAGAAGATAGCAGAGACAAAAATATAAAAAGACTCAAATTCACCCACCACCAAAACTTTACTATATGAAAAATTGTTATGATTGTTGACCAATGCTTGGAAATATTTGGCGGCTTTTCCACCGAGGTAAAAAAAATAAAAAATAAAAAATAAAAAATAAAAAATAAAAAAATCTACCTATATTTATTTCCATTGAGAGTTTTTGGTGCGTTTTGAATCAATATTCCAACAAATATTTTGCTTGGGTTGATCCATCTTTCCGTCCATGTCCATGCTATAAGAAAAGAATCATTGGTTGCTATGCAAAGCAAGTGATAACAACAACGAGGATCAGTTGAAAATGCAAAGAATAGTGAAGTATAGTTAGATTCCTTTGGGTTCGTACAATTGTCCATTCTAATAAGCTGTTTTTCAAATTGGTGGTGTCGGGATCAGTTAACGATAGTGCAATATGCTGTAGCTAGTTTATGTTGGGAAAATTGGTAGGTTCGATTCGTGGTAGATGCACTTGGAAGGTTTAGTTCAATCGCTGCTCATAGAACGATTGTATTTTTTGCTAAAGTGGAATTATTTGATGCCATTTTAGTACAAAGAGAAATTATGTTTGCCATGTGAACTTTTCCACTAAGAGAAGGAGATAGATTTTTTTTATGGACCATACATCATTTAGTTTTACTGCCACAAAAGTTATTGGTACTTAAAAGCAAGAATAGGGAATAGAAGAATAATAACAAGAACACACAAATTTATGTGAAAATTCAAGACAAGAAAAAAAAAATCACGGATAGAGAAGAAACAGGCAATAGAAAAATAATAACAAGAATAAACAAATTTATGTGAAAATTTGAGACGAAAAAAATCATGGATAGAAAAGAAAAATTCACTATATCAAAGATGAGTATAAGAGATGAATATTTTGCCGGGATTAGGCATCTCCGCTACCACCAGACTCCCAAAATTATCATAATATTGGTTTCACTACATATGTCGCATCGCAAAATTTTCGGGCCGGACCAAACAAAATTCTAATTAGCATATTCTAACAGTTATCGTTCAATTTTCTTGTACTTAGTTCAAACTTCACAATTTCAAGTTATTAAAATTACATTATTTGGTGGATTTGATGAGACAATACATCAGATTAGATTGCCATTAATTGAACCCTCTAACGTCGTGGGATGCTATTCAGTTACGAGATCATTGTAAAATCAATGATTAATATGTAATATAATATGCAATACTAATAGGATTAAACAATATAACAGACAAAATTTTGACCATTTTTTCTTAATATTGTTCACTATCCCAAACGAGTCAAAAAACTCTCTCGACTTAAGTCCCCTTAATTACATTTAACTCCATTACTTCTAGCAATCTCTCAGTATTTAAGTCTCTGCCCATTTTTCTTTTCTTTGTTCAATTTCATAGTTTTTCGGTTGAATGCTCTGGTAAGTTATCCAAGACAACTATAGCAACTGAAAATGGCATAGAGGGATACCTTTTCCAGTGCCAAGTCCTACCATGAAGTCATTGTTAGGTATCCTACTCGCTTTATGAGCAACCTTCAGACTTTTCATTTTATTATGGTACAAAGTTTATGTACGTATAGCTTAACTGCATTTTCTTCGTGTCTTTAACAGCATGTTTTCTACATATTTGACTTGACGGATCTATAAATAGTATTTTAACTTTTTTTCATTGTTAGTACTGTCCAACGCTATCTAGTCCATCCATCTTATCAAACATATATACTATAAGACCCACTTTACATAATTTTGTTACCATTTTGGCTATGTATGAATATTGTGGGATTTGTGGCGGGACTCGATTGTGTGATTGGAGGGAAGGAGTTAAACCTACGTGTTGTCTGCAGAGGTTACCAAGAGGGGAGGTTATGACAAGGTTGGTGAATGTATAATATTTTTTCCACCTTAAAATTCACAATTTGTTTTTCGGTATTCAATTTATTTATTTTTCTCTCGAAATTTTCTTGAAAAAGTACGGAGAGGAAATGGATGGAAATCAGTGGCATTTTTACCTTCTCCCCTACAATTAGGAGTGGCTTTGAGAAAACGTTCTTTTGGTTTGCCCTTCCGTTATGAACAAGCTTACTTCTTAAGATATCATCGTTTCATTCTTGATGGAACAAGTACATACATCACTTCTCTCTCTCTCTTTTGGCTGAATCCTTTCTAGGTTCTATTTGTGGATGGCATGTTTTTATTTGCATCTATTTGCTTGAATTTTGTTTACACATCTTATGTTTTGATCTATTAATTTATTTTCCAGTATACACTTGATTTTCCATTTATTTAAAGCTATAACTCTTTTTATCGTCATTTTTTAGGTTTCTTTTAGATGTTTAATACTTTACTATTGTCCATTTATTAATTTGATTTTGTCTTTAGTAACTAATGGCGCAAAATGACAAAATAATTTTTGCACTCGTTTTGCACTCTTTCTATATGTTGTTTTCAACATGACCTTATGGAAACAAGGAGAAGTGATTCATGAAATTTAATTGATATTTTTTAGTGTTGTTGTTTACAGTCTAATATAAAATAAACGAAGAAAATGATTTAAGTTGCAGATATTAATTAATTTAATTTGGTCTTTACAACCTGACATAATGAAATCATAAAAAATGATATATGTAATAGATATGAATTTATTTTATTTATTGTTTACAAATTATTAGCACAAGCTAACATAATAGAACATAGAGAAATGAGTGATTCATATATTCGAAGCTTGTTATTTAATTTTGTTTTTATGATCAAACCTAATCGAAGAAAAATGGTGAATGTAATCAATATTTATATATTTTAATTTTATCTTTACCACTTAAAGAAACGAAATCGATTTAAAATTTTTAAATATAGTTTTTGCCTAATTTCATGCAGATCCAAAAGATCAAAATGGATTGCAAAGCTTAGAGCCACAAGTATTTGGCACAAAAATTGCACAATTAGATAATTAATTGTAAACACTAAGCTGTAAAAAATTATGAACCACACATTTCACTGCCACAAAAGTTATTGTTCAATCTATTGTTCATAGTTCCAACTTGGCAATTCAAGTTATTAAAATTACACCGTTTGATGAACTTGAAGAGACACAATACATAAGATTAGATTGAGTTAAACTGAACCCTCTAGTGTTATGGTATATTATTTATTTACAAGATCACTTTTAATTTAATGCAATACTAATAGAATGGAATAATATAATTGACAAAATTTTAGCACTTTTTTCCTCAATACTCTTCACTATCGCACGTGTCCAAAGACCTCTCTAACTTAAAGGCTCCTCAATTGCATACTTGTCCTTTTTAAATCCATTACTTCTAGCAATATCTCAACTAAGTCTCTGTCCATTTTTTTTTTCTTTGTTCACTTTCATACTTTTTTCGGTGATTACTCTGGCAAGTTCATATCTTCTAAGGAAATGACATACATGGAATCCTTTTCCCTTGCTAGTGGCTACCCATGAAGTCGTCATAAGGGATCCTACTCTCTTTATGAGCAACCTCCATACCTTCTATTTTGTTATACCAATGTTGGCTCTACAGGCCTTGTACAAGCTAGAAACATCCAAGGTGGGTGGGGTGGCTGATTATTTAAAAAATAATAATAAATTTCACCCGCCCCCCCAGCATGTCTGTAGCCTGTACAGCCAGCATGGCTCATTTTGTTATGGGTATAAAAGTTTATAGCTTAACTCCATTTTCTTGTCTTTAACGGTGTATTTTCTACATAACAAATTTGGCGGAACTATAAATATTATTTCTAGTTTTTTACCATTAGTACCATCCAATGCAATCTATTGTGTCCATCTTTGTTACTGTTTTGGCTATGTATGATTATAGTTGGATTTGTTTAAGGTTTTCTGTGATTGAAGGGAAGGAGTTAAACCTGCATGTATTGTACACAGAGGTTACCAAGAGGAGAGGTTCACGGGCGGACCCACATGGGGTCATGTGGGGTCAAATGACCCCACAAAATTTTCCCCCTGTATTTTTATTATTATTATTATTATTTTTTTTTACAATCTATTTTGATGCACTTGTCGGGATGTCAAATGAAATCAAAATGTTGCATTCTTAATACCATTTCGAAGTGCTCATGACTTAGTTTTTCACTCATTAATGGCATACGAAGTGGTCAACTATAGGAAAAGTTATGACATGTTAAAATAGGACGTTTGAAACTAGTATTTTGAAAATTTCGATAATATCTTAACTTTAAAAATTCGTTTGCGATCATGTGCAGTCTGAATCCACAATTCGTCTATGACATGTAAAAGTTTGTTTCGAAAACTACATTGTTTTCATATCGACTGATCCAAACGAATATCGAAAATAGTTAAATATGTATCAAATGTACGCTTAAAAAAAGACGTCTAACTCGTTTTTTCTTTTAAAAAATTCAATTAATTATTATTTTTGCACGATAAATTTTTCAATATAATTTATATTGTTTCATTCGGAAGTCTTACATGAAATATGACGTAAATTTTTTATGATCGTTCGGATTAAATGTAATTTGAATTACTTTCGAATTATATTTGCTTTAAATTTAAATTTTATTTACTTCCTGAACTAAACTTGAATTTTATTTTAATTCATTTAATTTTTATATTGAATTTAATTTACTCAATGGTAGCTCAGCATTTGCCAATGAAATGATAAACAAAACTATACAAGTAGCAAAATTTATTTAATAATATTAATAATGATGTAATTATATGACGTTTTTTAAGTGTAAAAATACATATAAACTTATTTTCATTGACATTATGTTGTTTATTAAAAAATTATTTTTAAAATTTTGACCCCACAATACTAAAGGTTTGGGTCCGCCCTTGGAGAGGTTATAACAAGTTTGATGAACAAATAATATTTTTTGTTCTTTAAAATTCAAACATTCTTTTTCCATTTTTAATTATCTTATTTTCCTCTTCAAATTTTTCTTGAAGAGGTAGAAAAGAAATGGAAGGAAATCGGTGGCATTTTTTACTTCT